TGTGTATATATATATATATATATATATATATATAGAGTATATCACATTAGATATGTTATATCAGTATTGGAATGTATGGAATTGAATTAAGTTCCTTTGAATTTCTGACTTATAATTGCACAAAAACTGTCCAGAGTTATAAAACCTACAAATGCATTTCTTACCAAAAATAAATAAATAAAAATGTCATGCTACAGTGGTTCGACAAAAAATATATTCATGTTAAACAACAAAATTCAGTCCAAACATTGTGTGAGATATTTTTTAACACTAATTTACTTTATAAATACTTTTACGGAAAGTAGTTTTGACACATTATGGTACCCCATAAATATCTGGGTTTGACCCAAACACAAACGTTTTTGTTTTTAGTTTTTTTTGGCTACATCTCTTGTAAAAAAATAAAAATAAAAAAATCTGAAAAGGGTAGTTTCATTCCCTTACTAAAAACTATGTTTTATTATGTATCTCTTTTGGATCAAAACGGACCTGAATGTGTTATGAGGATTAATAATATAGTAATGTCATTGTACCTGTGTCTCCAGGAGGCCCTGGGTATCCTGGTCTGCTCTGTCCTTTATTGCCCTTGAATCCCTGAGGGCCTGTGTCCCCTACAAGAGTGCCAAGCATGTTATGCAATTACAATACAAACTCAAAGCCAAATCCATTTACATAATCTGGAAGTGTTACAGCCAGACGCCTCTGTTACCTTTGACTCCTGGAGGTCCTTGGATGCCCGGAGGCCCCGGGTAGCCCTGAGCGCCGTGTCTGCCAGGATAGCCCTGGGGCCCGCTGGACCCTTTAGGCCCTGGAGCTCCAGGGGGTCCCGGGGGTCCTTTAACGGTCTCACAGGGTTCACAGCGCTGAGGGCTCATCGTCTGCAGTAGCTGTGGCAGCTGATCTGATAGAGAGGCATTACAGTAGAGATTACTGAACACCAACGGATGCCCAAGGGGGCATATGATGAGAAATCAAAATTTCCTTGACCCTCACTGTAATATAAAAACACAGACTAGCAACATTCACCCAATCTATTTTCATATGCATCTTATTGCACTATAAGTGATTCATCCATGCATTTAAATGCAAACAAAATTTTAATCCAAATCTCAATCTTCTGGTGAAACAGACTCTCTGGGAGTTCTCCAAGCATGCATTTAGATCTTCCTCCATCCAGTCAATGACCGGTAGACAGAACAACACCCTACTTTTTTTTTTTTTCTTGCTAATCCATTTCTCTGTTATACATCATAATGTGGAAGAAAGAGTCTATCACTAATTACGTTGCATCAATGCTTAATGTTTGACATCAAATTCATGAATATACCACTGCATTTACATATCAATGATGCAATGCCAAAACATGTCCAGTTTAATTCTAAGAGTTGGAAAAGGGAAGGAAATGGTCATAAGGAAACTCATGAGACTCTTATGTGACAAAACAAGAAATGTGACTAGTATTGCTGTGTTCCAGGAGTCAAGTGAAGTAACAATAAATACAAAGTGGTGGACAAAGCAACGGAAAAGTTGGTAGTAAAATATAATTTAGTCAATATTGAAACATAAATAAAAATTAGTTCTCTGAATGGTTATATGTATATATATATATATATATATATATATGGTATGTATTTTTGAATCCAGGTCACTTTAAAAATGTGCCTGTGCAACACTTTTGCAAAATCATATTTTGTTGCTTCCTGTACATTTTGCAACAAAGTGAAATGTCCAGTGAATGGTGCTAAAAACACGTTTTGTTTTATCCAAAACAGATCAAAGTGAATCTGGTAATGTTTTATTGTGTTGGTCATTGTATGTGTGGCAGCAGATTGAAAAATTAAAAGTCTGGTGTGTGTCGCTAAAAGGTTATTGTTCAGTCACATTCGAAAATGGCATAAAATCTATGCTAAACCTAACCCATAGCGTTAACTAAAGCCAACACGAGATAAAAACATTTAAAGCTTGATAAAAGTTTTTGAGCTGTTTTATCACGACTCATATTTCATGGGACACACCAGCGTAATGCTGTACCGGGTGCGCTACCGAGCAAGTTTACTCTGTTAGAAAAGCGAAACATTTGGAGCTGGTTATGTGATGCAAACATCAAAATGTTTTAGTTTACAAATTGTGCACTATGGTACAAGAGTTTTGAGCTCATAACATAGTACTAGGCAAGAAACTGAGTGAATTGATTGTCTTTATTAATTGATAATCTACCCCATAATCAAAATGTGTGTGAAAAGGAATAAAGGTTAATGGTGTTGTACTGTCACTAGTGTCCCTTTCATGTGGAAACTAATTGTTAATTGTATGTTTAGGTACATTTTTGGGATTTTGCACAAATGTATTTAGAGGCCTGTTTTCTCAATAAGTATGTTGGTATTTTTATTTTAATTATCATCAGTGACGTCAAGGCTATAACATGGTTGGTTATCGAGAAACACGTGATTGGAATTGACCGTTGACTCCATTGTAGAGCTTGTCATCTCATGATAAAAAATCTCTGGAGTTGCTGTCAAAGTACAGTAGAGCATTTCAGATCAGTCAGTTTTAAGTCTCTGTGATGGTTAGGCCGCATGTAGGCAATATGCTGCGAGGCAGCTCACTAGATTTATAAATGGACCACCGGGGAAAAAAGTAAAATGCTAACAGAACGTACGACATGACCCCTTTAATTCAAAGCAAACTGTAAAAACTCTGATAGCTCAGCAAGTTTCCGTAACAAAAGCTCCTTTCTAGTGATCTTTGCTTTTATCTAACAGCTTTAATTGGACGCCGCATGCTATTCTCGGCTCTTTACGTATCAGGCTTGTTCGTATTAAAAGAGGGAAAAGGAAAAGCTCCTTGGGCTCTTTGTTCTCAAGAGAATAATGACCTTGAACAAGGTCGGATACTCACTTCTCAAAATGTCCCCACAGAGTTTTATTAAGTACTCCTCTGAGGGAGGCTTACCCTGAAACACATATTGAGTCACTCATTAGATGGCGTCGCTACATGAAAAACACATACAGCTTTCAAAGAAATTAAAGGCTTGACAGATAACAAAGGAAGAAGCATAAGAAAGGAACTCAATTACACAGTCTTGACCTAAGGCCTTGTGGTTTCTTTCATGAATCAGCTGAAATGATGCGTCCTGACATTGCCCCAGCCCATGCCGTACTTTGTATACAATGTGTATATTTCTTGTGAAAGGAAAGACCTGGTGGCTATAACAAAAATTTTAATTGCAGTAGTGTAGTTGTGAGAAATGTAAGAATACTCACAGGCTTCCCTGGAAAGCCCGGAGCGCCGGGAAGCCCTGGCAAACCGTCTTGACCGGGGAATCCACGTGGCCCGACTACACCCGTGTGTCCCAAGTCTCCCTTCTGTCCGTCACGACCTTTGACCCCGCTCTCACCCAGCGTGCCTTTCTAGTAGATTCCAAACAGCACACATAAAGCCTACTGCATGCTTGCATTTATATTCCCCATGCAAGTGAGACACAATTAATGAAATTAAAATAATGATGTGGCCTTGCATGATTACTGAATTGTGAAAAGGTGGCGCATTAAACGAACGTATCATTAAAATGCATTGTGTGCTGCTCTGTTCATACTCCAAGCATGCTTACTCTAAATGTGGTTTGCTTATGTATGCTTACATGATTTGTGAATGCATTTGCATATTTTTTTCTGAAATTTTACAGAAATATAATACATTATCTATCTATCTATCTATCTATAATATGCAGTTTTTAGTATAGTATTTAATAATATTTAGAATTTGCTTTTATTTTTATATTTTCATTGTAGTTTTTTTTTTGTTACATGATTTTGTCATATATATATATATATATATTTTTTTTTTTTAGTTAGTTATTTTAGTACTCAAACTTACATTTTCAGTTAGTTGCCAAGGCAGCTTTTGTCATTGTCATTAAAATGTTTAAAGCGTTTCATCTGATAATATGCCACCATATTCAAATAGACTGAAAAATAAATTAGATTCGAATGCTTGTTGTTGAGCAGCAGTATGAAATGTTAAATGTTTTTCACATCAAAGATTAAATCACAAATCACAATATTTGTCAAATTAATCACAATATGACATTCTGAACAACTCGTGCAGCTCTAGTGTGGAGCAAACATACTGTACAGAAATATTTAATAAGCATGTTCAATTTCTCTGGAGAAACAATGCATTATTTTAAAGGATGTGACTGATTTGCATATGTCTGCTACTGATTTGCCCACGAACACAAAATAATAAATATACATAGGAAATGTCTTCTAGTTTACAGGGCAACCAGTTTGCCGGTTTGCTCTGACAGCACGCTGAAAGCAGCTTAGTATAACTGTCAAGCTGTCAAATGTAAACACTTTGTGGACGACATGCTTCAAAGTGCTCAGAAGTGCTCTGCTGTCCCATGTTCCTTCCTTCAGGAGGCGGAGATGCTCTTGTTTCTTGTGTAAATAGCAGGAATGGTTTAAATGTGAGAGAGCTGTGTTATTCTACACACCTCTCCTTTGCTGCCTCTGGGTCCCACTTCACCCTGGTTAAGGAGGAACGAGAAAGAGGAAACTTTTTATGATAAAATCAGAGAGGGAGAGAGAGAAAATCTGTTATTAAACACACAGACAGGCTCAATATTCACAGCGGCGAACAGAAGAAAAGCTCTTCAAAGCCACAGACAGGGAAACCCTACTGAATGATTCTCAAGCCCTGCGTGTGTTTGCAGACTGAATCACGTAAAGACACGTCAACAGGAGCTGGAAATATCACTGTCGGCACATCGGACGGTTCAGACTACAATAATGTAGTAGTCTGTATGTAATGTAATGTAACACACAGGCAAGCACTTGGGGTTTTCCTAATAACAAGCTACTTTTTTCAACAAGTAGAAGGCAAAGTGTTTCAAAACTCTATTGGTTTTAGTCACATTTTACTGTGTATGCAATTTTTGTGCCAGATAGATACTACTCTGATTGTAGATGTAAGCTACATTTTAAACAGTTAGTTATATATTCAAAAAGATATTCATTCCTCAATGTCTTTGCCCATATGGAAATGTAATATATTGACCAAGAGAAATATTGCCATAAATGTTACCTATAAGGCATATAGCTTTTACATGTATATCCTCTGGGTAGATGAAAATATAAGTTTGTAACAACACACACACTCATACACACACACACACACACTCTCACACACACACGCACACACACACACACACACACACACACACACGCACACACACACACAGGTTTGTTTTTGCGAAAAGTGGGGACTCTTCATAGGCGTAATGGTTTTTATACTGTACAGACCGTATATTCTATTGCCCTACACCAACCCTACCCCTAAACCTACCCCTCACAGGAGACTTTCTGCTATTTCAGATTTTCAATACACTCCATTCTGTGTGATTTATAAGCGTTTTGAAAAGTGGGGACATGGGGTAATGTCCTGAAAAGTCACCTTCTCCTTGTAATACCTGTCATACCTTTGTCATTATACACATTTATGTCCTCATTTGTCACAAAAAC